GGAAGTGCTTCCCGCCTTTTCATGAGGTGCGGAGGGGACAGCTTCCCACCATTTTGTGAGGTGCTGAGGGGACGGCTTCCCACCATTTTGTGACGTGCTGAGGGGACGGGTTCCCGCCATTTTGTGAGGCGCAGAGGGGATGGCTTCCCGCCATTTCATGAGGTGCGGAGGGGACAGCTTCCTGCCATTTTGTGAGGTGCTGAGGGGACGGCTTTCCCTCCACCTGAGAAGCCTTCACAAACCCTGGTCCTGAAGAAGAGGACTGTTGGACTAATTACCTCAAAAGAAGCCAAATCCAGGATTTAATTAAAGAAGTAAACTTTCTTAGGAATCATAACCAGGGATCCTGGTTTTCTCTGATTTAAAAAAAAAATCCCAAATTTTCTGATTTAACCCCCCCCCACCCCAAATCCACATCTTTCCGTGATTAAAATGAAACACCATCATGTATGTATGTGTGTGTGTGTGCGTGCACACATATATACCCGCATGTGTATCAGTGGTGTTTCATTTTTAATCACAGAGCTGAAGCGTCTGAAACGTACTGCTTTAGGAGACTGCTGCCGCACCTAACGAGCTCAGGGATGATGGCCGGAAGAGCCCACCAACCACCACGAAGCAGTTAGTTTCTCACAGAAAGCCTCCGCCCCCTGTGGAGAACGGGAATGATTTCCAGGAAGGGAGCAGGCAGCAAGACTCGAGAGTGAAAGCAGTGCTGTCACATTTTTGGTGAGGAATGTGCAAATCACAGTACAACCCACCCCAAACCCCTGCACCAGTCTTCTTGAATCTTGGCAGGCCTTGTGGCTAGCACCGCTGCAGCCTTCAGCCCCCGGCACCTTAACACACACAGGGTCATTTGTGTCACGAGTTTTGCCTGTCAGCAGCTTGGGGTGCGGTTCCCCCCAAAACCCTGAACAGATCTTCTTGAAACGTGGGAGCCTTTGTGGCCTCACCAGGGGATACCACCGCTGCAGCTTCCAGCCCCTGTGCTGTAACACACGGAGGTGACAGGCGTTTGCTTTCAAGCATGTGGGCGGCAGCTCCCCCAAACCCCTGCACCGATCTTCTTGAGGCTTGGCAGGCGTCACGCCCTCAGCAGAGGCTACCGACCCTGCAAGTTGCACCCAAATCAGAGCTAAAATAAAGCCGTCGATATCTCTTTCTTCCCCCACTATAGCCGGGTCTCCGAAGTGGCTCTGAAGCTGCGGAGCCGTTTCAGTCGGATCGAAGCGGCCAACCGTTCTGGAGCTGCAGCCATCCAAAGGGGCCGGATCTGCAGTCAGACCGGATCACTGCTGATTCGCACAGGCCTAATACTCATGTCTCTCAGCTCTTACCTCTGGCAGGGTTTTGACTTTTGTACGTGGGACTTAGCCCCTCCAGCCCGTCCTGAGCACGGCCCAGGATGGACAAGGACCATGTCCCCAGCCCCAGCTTCTCCCCCTTTCATGCCTGTGCTGCTCCTCAACACAACGCTGCACGTCTCTGGGCCCTCCCCTCACCCCCCAGCCCAGCTCCCCCCATACATTTGACATTTGACAGCACTGCTTTGTGCAATCAGAAAAAATATCTGCCTTAAACTTTGATTGTTTTAGTTATAAGATGACATAACCGCTTTGTGGAGAATTGCTGGCTCTGTATAGTCGAACAGATAAGAGAAAGTGTTTGTTCTTTGTAACTCCTCTGCAACTGCTTCGCTCACCGCGGCCTT